ATTTTTCATATAATGAATTTTTAATTTCATTCTCACTAAATTTATATTATTATTATCTAGTTATTTTATATTTTAATCTGACTGAAAATCATTTATAAATAATTAAATTGTAATTTAATTAATTAATTTAAATGCATAGGCAGTGAGCTCTGCCTTTTCACTTACATATGTTAATGTGATTATTTTAAAGAAATTTAATTAAATTTATTAAATTTTTTTTTATCATTAATCTTTATTTTATCAGTTTAATTATGTTTAATGAAATTATAGTGAATTCTATACTATAATTTATTATGACAATATTTTTTATTACATAAAAATTGCATAAAATTTTGTAAAAAAAAATTATATTTCATTTATAGTTTCTGTCATGAATAGCAATTTAAGTCATTAAATTGTATAAAGTAAAAAAAATTATTAGAGAGGATTTTATACAAAATGCTATCCTTATAACAAAAATTTTATTTGAAATGTGAGAAATACTCTAGAGATATAATAGGATATTATATATAAATGATATAGTTTCTAAAGCTGAAGGCAAAAATTCATTTAATAGCATAAAAATAAATGCAAATCTCATATACTTTATTCAGTTAACATAATAAAAAAATTTACTACAAATGTATTTTATTATAAAAACTATTTCAATTATTTTCGTATTGGCCCCAGAACATTACACGGAAATATAATCGAATCCAAGTAAAATATAATTGAAATTTTGAAAATTTTTTTATCGCGACCAAATTTTCTCTCTAGTAATTCACTATTGTATAATTTATTTTAATGATAATCAAAAAATTCAATTTAAAAATCACATTATCCTTCCTTTAATTATTCTCAATATTCTTGTCATTCACTATTTTACTGTTTTTATTTCCCAAAATCTAATTTAATTTACTAAAGTAAAATTAAAAAAAAAAAGAAAATATTTTTTTATTAAAAGGATTTCCCCCCCAAAAGTATAATCAAATGAAATATAACAGTTTTGTTCTGAAATTATTATTTTTATTTTTAAAATTTTTGGTGTCATAGTATTATATAAGTAAGTAAGTGCTTGCCTTCTTCTAACGTCACTAAGCTTTTCTTTAATTAAATATTAATATTTTTGTACCAATCGCAATGGATAAAAAAAAAAAGGTTATGTGATGGTAATGAATTTTACATGTCGAATTTTAGAATTCTCCATGCTCTCTCCGAGATGTGTTTCTCCATACTAAGGAAACGTAAATAATCTATTTTTAGAGAGATGTCAGTGTCTGTCTGTCTGTGTCGATCAGTCAGGCAGACAGACAGAACAGTTTCTCAAGTTCGGCTGAACCGATTTTCAATCAAATTTATATCTGAATTTACTTCGAGGATAAGACGGTTCGATCAGCTTTTGGGATATGTCAGGTTTCTGAAACTGGATCTAATACGAGCCAATTTTACATTTTTGCGCATATATAGCGTAATAATAGCAAAATTTTCTTCAAATTTAATATTTAAATTAGGAGTGGGGTATTAAAGTAATTAATCAATAAATTTTTTAGAAAGATCTTGGATCGAGTAAATAGTTGAGTTCTTGTCGTTACCGAGTTCTTGTCGCCAAGTGGCGAAGTTTTAAGGGAATTCGAATGACACAAAACGAAGCTACTAAATTTATATTTTTCGAGTAATGTTAACCAAAAGGTAGTATCTTCAAAAAATATAAAGAAGTGTTTTAAACGCATTTTCATAATCTTTCGTAACACTTTTACTAAACTAGACAACATACATTGCGGTCGGTTATATGTGCTGACTGCTGACTGCATCAAGATTTTTTCTTGTCTTACTTTTGGTGTTATATAGGTGCTCGTCTCCTTCTGTCACTAAGCTTTTCTTTAATTAAATATTAATATTTTTTTTTTATTAATTTTTCTCCTACTCATTTTCTTGATGAGTTACTTATGTATATGTATACATAATTATGTACATATGTATTTGATTTCCTTATGGTTTCACTCCAATTATAAAAGTTTTTAGAAAAACAATATTTTATGTTGAATTATAAATTATAGATATGTTTGTCTGTGCTTACATAGTTAAAGTACGGCAGTAATCAACTGAATCGATTTTTATAAATGCGTTTTTTTCTCTCTGTTTTTTTTTATTTTTATTTTGTTTTCTCTTACTCGTATATATTTGCGCAAATTTTATTTTAATTTCAAAATAATATTAAAAATTCATAAAACGACCATTTTATTTATTTTACTGCTAATGTATTCTTGAAGGACTCTCAATATAACGTCACAATACAAAACTCTCTTTACTTTAATTTTTTTTTTATTCTCAATAAATTTTTTCATTTTAATGTTGATCTTTTTATTAATTTCTTCTTGTTGTTCTTTTACTGTTTTTTCATAATTTTGAAAAAGTATATTGGGAAATTTTAAATCGTAATTTGAGTTACCTTTATTGTTGTTGTAGCTTTTGAAATGTAGATGGTTCTTAGAAGTATTAAGAAGTATTTAATTTTTAAATTATAAAAATTCTCAGCCATATACAAAATTAGGTTTACGTTTTTTTAAATTTCGTTGATATTTGCCGAAGTCTTTCTTATAGACTATAAAAACGACAGCGAACAAATTAAGTTAGAAGGAGAATATGGAATGAAAATGTGTAAATACGTCACCATAAAATTTAAGATACTTAGTCGTAGTTGTCAAATTGGTTTCTAAAACATTTACGAAAAAATTTTAAAAGAAACATTAATTTTTCATTTAAAGGGGCTTGAGAAAGTTACAAACTTCATATTGGCGAAATTTTCGTATATTTTGTTTCTCCCCTTCTCGTTCATAGTGAGAAGTATAAATTTCATATTAAAGTAATAACTTTTAATGGATTTCGGTTGAACATAAATTTCCCAATTAAATTGTACTGTAAAATGGAAAATTTAAATTGGAAATTTCCTGAAAATGACCCGAATATTAACAAATTGGATTAAAATAATTAGTCAGAGTTAAAATTTAATTAGACCGCTTGAAATAAATATCAAGGAACGTAATTGTATGATAAATACATAATTTTAAACTGCATCGATTTAATCGTATTTTGAACTATTTACTATCGTATATTTATGACATCCCGAATATTAATAATAATTACAATAGTAATTAATGGTACTACAAAATGAATGGTGATGCATTTGGGAGTAACATTCAACGTATAATAATTTTCAATTCAACTACATTAATATTAAAAACCTTAAAACTGCGATGATAATAATCATTGAAGCAATGAATTTTATCATTAATAAGCATTCATACTATTTTACACATTAAAATAAAAGAAATTAAAAGGTAGCTAAATTTTATTATAAAACTAAAGCCCTTTTTGTTTTGAATTTTCTAATAAACGGGGGACGTATCTTTCAAATTATACCCTTTCATTTAAATTTAATAATGAAAATTTAATTTTCAATTTAAAATTACAAAATTATCCTTGAAAATTTCATTGGAAGCAAAGCATTAGCAAATGTGAATATTCCATTTTTCATTTTAATTTCTCAATTTAATTTGAAAAATTCATGTATGGACATTTTTTAATAGTTTATTTTAATCTTCAGGATAACCTTTCTTAAGTTACCATTAATATTCTAAATATTTGTATTTTGATTTGCCTACGATTTCTTTTGAAAAAATTCAAAATTTCCCTTTAAAATTTGATATTTTAAATTTGTTTCAGATATTTTGCATATATGTAGGCAAAAAATTTCTGAAACAAATGGGTATGACTTTAACATCAATTTACTTTGTTATTAATGGTTTACACTGCATACATTAAATAACTGCTTAATCGCAACAATTCCAATGATAATGAGAAAATTAACTAAAACAATTTCTTTAAATGTTTTCATAGTTAATTTTGAGTTCAAATTTAAAACTCATACAATTTCAATTTTAATTTCTGAAAGAGTTGTGTAAACTTATTGATTGTTAAATTGGAAATTTAACAATCAACATTGTAAATAATTCTTTCCTATTGCATATTTAATAGAACTCAAATGAAATGTGATCAATAAAACTCTCTTGTAATTTCGTAATTTTTTTTATTCTCATATTATTTTTCTTGCTTGCATCCAACATAAAATCAATTTTGCTCAATGTCCTAAGTGAATTGACGTTTTCCTGATTTAATTGTATAAAATTTATGATGCTCATTTCCGTTTTTACACGCGTGCGGGATGTAAAAAAAATAGCATAATAAAAATCAAATGCTGTTTAATATATTTTTGTTTTAAAATGCAATTTTAAATGAAAATTTAAAATTTAAAATGAAAATTAATTTTGAAAAAATTAAAAAAAATTTAAAATTCAGTTAGAGAGAAAAATTTTTATCAGTTAGAGAGAGTAGATTTGTCACTGACAATTTTTTCTGAATTGAACATCTTGGTCGAGCCTATTATATTTGGGTGATAAATCTTGAAGAATTTCCTTGTCAAACAAATTGAACAGCTAACGTTTTACTAATTTGAAGGAACAATCATATTAAATGTTATAGCAAAAAGAGAACAATTTTTGGGAATCAAATTTGTTGTGGTATTTGTGATTTAATTTTTAGAGAATTGTCACAATTTGTATAAATATTATTAACAATTTGTACAAAAAATGAATTTGTCCAAAATGTTTGCTCTTACAACAATAATTTACAACGAGAGCACATTTTGTTGTTGTTTTGTTCATCTCTTCTAATGGATTTTATTTTGATAAATCCTTTTTTTAGATAATAAATTTATGTAATTGCATTTGTATTGTCTAAAATGGCTTTGATTTTGCTTTATTTAATTTAAAAAACAAAAACCATTAAAAAGTTTGAATTGACCATTTGATTAACAAACTAAAATAAAAAATAAAAATTTTTTGCATTTTGTGTTATTAAATTTGAAATTTTTTAAAACTAATTTAATAAAATAAAAATTTGCATTCTACAAAAAATTTTTCCTTTTCATTAACAGTCAATTATTTTTATTTTAAAATTTTTAGGTTGGTAATTTAGAAGTAACATGGGTGGTGTCTGATTATACAGCAACACCTGGAACAAATGAATTAAGTGTGATAAAAGGACAACAAGTTGAAGTTGTTGAAGTATCGAGTGCCAATGAGCCAGATTATTGTTTAGTAAGATTAAATCCACAAACAGATGATGGTCCTGCACGTGAAGGTCTTGTACCAATATCAATATTAAAACCACCACCTGGTTCACAGAAATCAACAAGTTTAAGAAAAGAAAATGATGTACAAGAGCAAGGTTAGTTTTTATCACATATTATTACTTGTCATTGTAGCTGTTAACGTTAAAATTAAGGTTTAGAAATTGACACCTTTGACATTATGCACAATTTTAAATTTAACTTCGTTAAATTGAAGTAATCTGTTAAAATACTTGTGAAAAACAATATAGCTCCAAAATTAAAGCTAATGATTCTTACAATATACGAAATTTTTTTATGTTATGCAAGTCCGGGAAATTCCCATTAATATAGAGCTCAAGAAAGAATTCGTAAATTGAATACATTTTGTCATTCAACATGAATTGGATAAATGAAATATTTTTATGTAAAACAACAATAAGTTCGTAAAATAAGATTGTTTTGTTCAATTACGTATAGCTGACTCATAAATTTGATTAATTTTTTTTTAAAGCAAGAAAGTAGGTTTTAAATAATTCACAGAGTATACGTCACTATGTATTAATCGGTAAAATATAAACAAAACCGTCGATTTACGAGTTGCAATAGGCAATTTTGATGTTTTTACACAGAATAACGCAAAATGAATGATTTTAAATTTGTAAATGTTAGTTTGAGAATTATTTTTATTTAATGTATGGACTTGATTCTAAGATAGAACCGAATTTTCACTTACTGCCAAGTTTAAATACCAATTTAACTTAATGAAAATTAAATACCAAGTTTTCAAGGCACAGTACTTTAGAAAAAGATTTTCCATATAAGAAAATCTTAAACTTTTGAATTTGAATACTTTATTAGTGTTCAAAATTTTCAAAATTCAGACACTTAGCCAGTAACTTTTTGTAAAATAACACTAAAAAGACAATTCTTTCGAAATGACTTTCAAAAATTTTAAATAGAATGTCAAAAATTTTGTACAACTACTAAAGAATTAAAAACAAAAACAATTGGAAACATGGAAACTTAAAATGTAAGCATACTGAATTCTAATTTTCTCAAACTTTATCAATGTTTGTTGCATACATGTAGGAGGAATGTTAATGCAAAATGTTTTGTTGAATAATTTCTCCTAAATGTATGCCACAAATTATGAGAGAGTTGAATTTATTTTACTTATTATTTTAAGCTAACGCATCGTTAATTGCGTTAAATCTATAATTATTTTCTTTTTTTTCAAAAATAATATCGTAAAAAATTAATATCGTAATCAAAAAATTTACGATATTAGAAATTTTTTTTTACGAAAATAAGTTTTTAGTAAAGGTATATGTAAATTACAAAGTTCAGCTTTCTATCTTTGAGGGTGCAGAGGTTTTGCACCCTCAAAGATAGAAAGCTACAGAGGTTTGAAACTAATAAGCACTTTTTTTCAAAATTTTTTTTTTGGAAAAGGAAAAAGTTCCTTTTTAGAAAGACCAACATTGAGACGACGGTAACACTATTATATTCCTTATCTATAATTCCATATATATATTTCACATATTTCAACAAATTTATTATAAATTGCTATAATTAATTTATTAAAAAAATTTGTTTATCTAAATATTTTTTTTTGTTGCTTGACAGGTGAATAATCCCTATAAATTTTACTCAATATTCTTGAATATATGTACTTACAAATATTATAATTTTTATATTTATAGGTAATAGCCGTGCTAAAAGCGGAGACGCATTGTCTTCATCATCAACAAAACGGAAAGGATTTAGCGGGTAAGTTTTTCCTTCTTTTATCGTATTAGTATTTGTGTTACCTTTACGTATTTATTTATTTTATGATGATTTCTAATTAAGATAATCGCAATTTATTAGCAAAATAAACAATAGAACTTTCAACAGAAACAAAAACAAAAAAAAAATGAACGACGAAGCAAGGCAATGGCTGTAAATAATCAAAGAATTTCAATTTAATTATCTTTTATCTTATCTTTTTGCCAATAAATTCAACAAATTTCCTTCACACGCTACACCTTTTTTTCGTACTTATTCTTTTTTTTGTTATTCGCACCAGAAATGTTTAACTGTGACTGTTAGCTGGCTTTTCCTCCATATTTTTGCCTCTTTGCCCGCTGTCTTCAAAATCCATATTTGTTTACAAAAATTTCATACAACTTTGCAAATTCTTTGAAAATAGAAAAATAAATAAAGAAAATAAAAAACGAATAAAAATAGTAAACGGAAATGATGTATTAAAGTAGGTTTGCATGTGTGTGTTTGTATGTGCTATAATAATAAAGGCATGCTATGTAAAAGACACAAAATAACAATGCGAAGAATTGTTCAAAGTAAAAGTAAAAGGAAAAGGAAAAGCAAAACAAGAAGAAGAACAAAATTAAATGCCAAGGAAGTTTTTGTTCAACAAGTTTTTCTTTCCTATTGTTATTGTTATTGTTCTTGCTGCCTTTAATGTGTTTTTGATTCTCCACGGGTGGTAATTGTGTGTTACTGTTATAAACTCCAATTATAATGAAATTTTAATTGATGGTTTCTTTTGTTCCTCATTTAATTTTGAGATTTCAAAAAAAAAAAAAAACAAGAAAAAAACGATTGAAACTGAAGATTTTTTTTTATATTTTGAGATTTACAAATTTCAATTTTTGCTTTTCTTGTTTTTTTCCGAGGCTTAAAAATTTTGCACTAAAACCCGTGCTTACATTTTTTTACGGCTACACATATATAAAATTTAATTACGTTAAAAATTGTATGGAATTAAGGAATTAACTTGGAAAAAACATTTCTATTCAAAAATTTCGAATCTACATTTATAAATTTTACGATATTCTTAATTGCAGTAATAATACTGGTATAACGTAATTGGGGAATTGCGTAGCAATATTATATTACTGCAATTTTGAAATCGCCTTGAATCCTGTAATATTTTTAATAAACCATAATTTTTTATTAACAATGACCGTATTTCACCTATATAAAGTAAATTTGGATAAATGTACAAAATATCTAAAAAAAAACGGGGGCTGATTAGCTTATTATATTCCAATTGCTAATAGAATAAATTTATTTATTGAATTCTATAAAATTAAAGCAAAACCAAAAAGAATTTTATTTAAAAATGTTCTTAATTGTATTTGACGTAGTATAGGAGTTTTCATATGAAAAACCAAAAATATTTTCTTTTTTAATTTCCATTAAAAATTCTTCCATATTGAATAATTGGCGTCACAAGATCATTTGTAGTTTTTTTTATTCATAATTTCTATAATACTAAAAAATTTGTAGTAAATATTTTCTCGATTATAAAATCACGTTTTTAATCCGTATAGAAAAATTTTCATTCAGAATTTGCATAATGTCATTAAGTTTTCAATAATGCAACGAACAATATTCTAATAAAATACCACCCAATTTCTGATTTGAATTTTCAACCAGTGATTAGTAATAAGTCGCAACTGTTGTTTATCAATCTCGTAAGACTTGTTCAAAACTTTGTGATCCAAATTTCGAAAACTTACTCATATTTTTGTAATATTATAGAAACTGTCATAAGGCGATGTAGGCTGTCTTCTAATTTTTTTTTGAAATTTTAGTTTTCTTTAAAAAATTTAACCCTATTAAATTCGTTACTTACCCTACTTATTCTTTTGTCATATTTTGTATTGTGACAAATTATAGCTGCAATGCACACATTACACGTAATTATATGAAAAACGCTGAATTATCAGTAAAGGTTGCCTAGCCAGGAGACGAAAAAGCGAATAAAGGCTATGCACACATTGTGTCTTATTTAAACGTCGTATCGCAATTTGACAGATGTTAAAGAGTAATTTGACAGATATGGTTTTTTCTTTTTATTTCAATTTAGAGATTAGGAACTATATTCTTATCGCTTCCTATTTTTATATACGAGTTTTAAATTATTCTTAAAATTGATTTTTTTCATTTAGAACTATAATGTTTGCAATTAATACGTACATTCTTTTCTCTGATGAAAACTCATACCACTTAAAATAAGTCGCATACGCCACAATTTGACAATTCTTGTTATGGCGCTTAGAAGAACCATTTCCTGCGAGAACAGTAAATAAAATTAACCCAACAATTTCTTGTTTGTTATTTGGTTCTACTTTTGACTATTTTTAAAATTTAAAATTTTATGGGTTAAATCAAAATTTTTAATGAATATTAGTGCCATGTTAATTTTATTTTATTTGAATGTATTTACCTTAACAGTTATTTAAAAGTTCATTGTTATTTTATTATCAGGCCTGCATAAATTATTATAGTACTTTTACGATAAATTTTTTCTGTTTGATAATTTTTTTCAAAATTCCTTGTTACATTCAAACAAATCAGTTAATAGGTCGTTATTGTAAAATATCAATGGTAAATGAAAAAACAAACAAGTAAAAATGTTTCAGGCGGTCTAAAACGACTGAATTATACCCTGCACTTTGACAATCTTACTATAAAAACTAGTTTTTTCAAATATTTTTTTTTCAATTTATTCATCCAATCTCAAAATGAGCTTTAAGCTCGTAAAGAGTATAATTACAAAAAATTCTTATAATTAACTGTCAAATATCAATACAAAATTTTATCTTTCAAATAGTGCAATAATTAATTCATAACAATAACAAAATCAGTAATATTTGGTTAAACTAACAATATTGTATATGATAGTTTGTTTTGATTAAACATTTTGACGACTAATGATTCTAATAAAACTCTTATATTTTATTTATATATAGTATGTGTTAATATGTTGTTTAAATCTATTTATTAGTGTATGACTTTTCAATTCAGCAGATAGATTGTTATATATTTTATATGCTAAATTGTATACTGTGTCCAAATTATTAAATCTGACATTAGATAATATAATTCTGACGTTACCAGCTGTTCTTGTGAAGTGTGAATGCTATTTAATAGTAGCTTGAAAAGTTTTATTCTACCTGCCCGAACCTGTCAAGCCATTCCACAAAAACTTCACGAATAAGTCAGGCCAATAATTTGACACGCGACTGCAAAGTTTCATGAATCTTTAACTTTATTTTTTTTTTTCTGAATAATTGAAATTAGGTTTTTGGGTTATATTGAAGCTACCCTAACCCAGCCAGTCCTATATATGACATTATATGACATTATGCGACTATATGATGAAGTAAAATAGGGATAGGGACGATCAAGCCCTTGAAATAATCTCTTTGAGTTGTATAGCGGCCACCCGAACCCATCAACCGAATCGGTCCAATCACAATTGCAGCCGTTCTTGGGAAAAAATAAGGAAATTGTGAAAGTTGGGTGCTGTTTGTTTTATTCGTTTTTGAATTATCGTGCAATCGTACGCAGAATTTTACAATCTTCATACCAAAGTTAATATTCACGAAGGTGCAGGGTATAAAAAGTAACATTTGTTTTTTTTTTTTACATTACTCTAAAAATGTGTAATTTCAATTGTAGCGGTTTTTTCGAATTATTTTACTTCACTTTTTGTATTGTTTTATCATCGAACTCTTAAGAGATAAGAAAAGCTTAGTCAGCAATGACGATATTTGCGATTTTAATTTTCTTATTGTTTTTGTTTAGTGTTTTCAGTTATTTGTCACATTTTTTACTAAGCGCAAGGGTGAATTTTTTACATTGTTTTTAGTAGAATAATTTTATTTATTTTTTATCACAAAATAAAAAATAAAATTCAATTTTTATGCTCATACAACTATGGAAATAAAATAGTAGAATTTCGAAAACAAAACAGTCAAGTCGAATTTCAAGTCAAGTTGTAAAAAAATTTTAATTTTTGAAATTACATAAGAATTTTTTAAAATTAATTTCTTAAATGAATAATTGTTTCAAAGTGCAAATATAATAACATTTCAGTTTTTAAAAAACAAAATTTAATTGAAATTTGATCAAAACTACAAAATATTGAAAAATATTATAAAATTGCTATAAAATTTTGGAAAATTGTTGAACTAAATATTAAAATATTGGCATAATAAAATTCTAATTACAAAAAAAATGGCTTTAAAATCTACAAAAGGCAAAATTCAAAGTTCATATGTGGATGAAAAAGTTTTACGAAATTGCAAATTTTTTAAGTGAGTTTCACAAATTATGAAAAACCTGATAAATTTTACAAGTTTTAATTATTATCACTTTGTACTTTAATTATAATTTCATTGTTATCTTATTTATCAACTTATTGCAAGTTTTAATTTTTGTATTTTCATATAGATTTTGTAAAACAATGTGTACTTATAATTATTATAAAAGTGCTAAATTAGATCATTATTTTTTGTTTTACAAAATTTTCATTTAATTAATTAACAGGAATACAAAATGTGAATCTAGGTGTTAGAAATATTTAAGATTTAGGACGTAAAGATCCTAATATTAATTATTATTTTTAACATAGCTAATTTTTTTTAATAGAATTTGAGTGAGTTTCTTTTTATGACCTTGTACAAAAAGTAGATCATTTAAATACTTATTAAGAACAAAAATGGTTTGTAGACGTTCAATTCCCGTTTGTTTCATGAACAGTTCAGTGTTATCAACACAAAATTAAAAATGCTTTGATTACAAAGCAAGTTGCTTGCAATAAAACTTAATTCATTTTATTATATTGAGATTGCATAATGAATTCCTGTAAAATATGAAATTATTAGAATTTGAATCTTGTACTCGTACACTGTAAGTACAAGATGTTAGAAAAATTAAGTAAGACACTCTACGTACAAGATGTTAGAAGAATT